CCCCAAAACCCCAAAACCCCAAAACCCCGTAATTCTAGCATAATCGTAAAACAATAATAATAATCGAAAAGGCAAATATGAAAAAGTCAAACAGAGGAACTGTCAGGAAAAAGAAGGGTGTCAAATTCACTAAAATCATCGAAGAAGACACAAAGCCAAGGCCAGTGAGGTATTCAGACTATCCTTAAGAGTATAAACAATCTATAGAGAATTACTCAAACCATCATTTGATAAGATCAAAGATGAGATGGAGTCATTAGACTTAGAATCAGGAAATTTCACGTTCCTTCCAATTCGGTACTCACCTCCTTTGACAAAGTACCAGAGATACGAAGAATTCAAAAGTTTTATCAGTAAGGGCTTTCCAATGACTTCTAGAATCCCTAAAAACAAGCATTCATAAAGTAACAAGTTGTTAAATATCTCTATAGAAATAAACTACAAGAATACTTCATTAAAATGCACAAGAACTTCTGTGAAGATGCCCCCATTGAGCCAGATTCTTACCTGAAGCACTTCATTAGAAACTACGACGTTGAACGAGTGAAGCAAGATAGAGTCATGCAGAGTTTTACTATTGGAAGAAAAATCATCCCGAAAGAAAACACTGATAGAAAAATAAACATGGAGATTCATAATAGCATCATGGGAGTCTGCATGAGGAAGCCTAAGGCAGATAACAAGAACAAGGCTAAAAAGAAAAGTGATATCCCTCATTTTGCATCCAAGAACCAAGTCTTCGGCTCTGCAGATCTTCAAAAAAGAACTGATGAGTACTATAGCAACTTCGCTAAGAACACTCTTCAAAATGATATCGGTAGGCTGACATTAATCTCAAGTCTAAATTTTTATAGACAAGAAGAATAGGATAAAGGCACGGAAAAAGAACAGGGACAAAAACAGTAAGTTTGTTAGTGAGAAGATTTAGAAACTGCCCCCTCTTCTCATTACAGCCAGAAAACAGTCAGTAAGCTTAGTCCTTGGGCTAAATTTTAGCTACTTCTCAAAGGAGATCCCAAAAATCTGTCATTGAAAGAGATAAAGAAAAGGAGCGCCAAAAGTATACCTCTAACTTTATTCATAGATATATCCTTCACAGAATGAAAAAGAGAGGCTACTTTGTTGGTAGCAATAAGAGAAAACCAATAAGTAATTTCTCATAGATTCATTGAAAATGTTTGTTATAGAAAAATTAAGTGTCTCCAACGGGGAAACAATCAGACTACTCAACGAATATGCAAATAACAAGATCAGACTGTTTAACCTTCGTAGGAAACTAAACAAGACTCGAAGAAGAAGTATTGAATCAATGTTTCACACTCGTATTCATTAGAATTCATAATTAAAAATAGATAAGATATTAATAGATAGAGAACTTAAGAAGAGAAGTGTTTTTAGCCCACAGACCTCCCTCAACGATGTAAGCTTATCCTTAATCCAACCCTTTCAGAGCCAAAAACTAATGCTGCCACACCAGAACTCTCCATACCACTCAAGAAATCGAAGCTCTAGAGAAATATTCAAAGACATGAATTCTGTAACCCCCAATCATAAAACCTCTAGTCAACATTCACAAACCCTCTTTACACCCAAGTTCTAAAACAAAAATACCACCCTCCTAGCATGCACCACTCAATGCTGGCTACTACCCACTTCAGTAACACCGCCTCAATCCACGAATACGACGAATGCACTCACCAAAAGCTATAACCCTTATTCCTCCCCTAACCATCCTCCTCCACACTATTCCCCATTAAATGTCCAAGTCCTTAAAAATTAACCTGCCCCCAGGCGGCCTTTAAGCACCCTTTGTTCCACATTTGTTTAATATTTATTCAGAATCTTTAGAGGGGATGAATAGTAGAAGGGGTTTTGGGGTTTTGGGGTTTTGGGG